TGGAGGCGGCTTTTCCTTCTCCGCCATGTTTGTTTTGAAGAGTGCGCGTGCACACACGGGAGAAACCCCTTATAAGGCGTGCTCTCTCGTCATTGGATAAGCGCATAGGATGTGAGGTTTTTTTATTAAATATGTGGGAGAAGACTGGAAGGACTGAGAGATCCGTGTTTAGGTACAAACACTCTATATAAGTGATGGCTATTGGAATATATCAATATTTAAGACGTATATTAACACCCAAAAATCGCTTACTGCTGCTTTAATAAAGTCCTCCGAGACGACTGCTGTTGTGATTTAGAGCTTTACAGATATATATTGAATTCATTTGAATTAAACTGTACTAAACTAAAGGAAAAAAAACAACAACAACAACTAAAACTACAAAATTCCATATGCGTGCACAGATAATTGAACGAACTCATGCTTCATAATAGAAAGTAAGCTTCAAAACTGTCATTAGCGTCACACACAATGTCTCCTAACAGACCACATAGAGATCAGTGGATTGCACTTTCACTGACAAGCACTTCAGATATCTCAAATGAACTCATTATTTTTAATAATGATGAGCATGTTTTCTTTCAGAGCTGTCAGAACTCCAAAAAACTGGATTCATTTGCAAATCAAGAGCAGATATGTAAATGCACTCAAGTGACAATCCAGTCCTTTATTCTCGGTCCTCTCCCTCTTTTAAGATTTCCTTTGACAGTTTTGTACCATGCACCAGTATTTCCACATGGTATTCCTTAGACTACACACAGAGTGGACGTCTGGGAGCCCAACTATCTGGAGGCGTGGGGGCTGGAGAACTGGTCGCCTGGTGATAAGCTGGAGTGTGAGTGTGTGTTTTTGCGTGTGTGTATACGTGCTCGTGTGGCAGGGGTTGACAAGGTAGTCTGGTCTGGTCAACGCTCATTAGTAGAGGAGAGAAACCCCGGATGAGTGGGATGACAGGCAGGATTCGTTAGACCTACTCTATACATTCACGTGCGCACACAGACACACAGACACACACACACGCACACATCAGTACACTAGAAATATGTAGGGTCAGGCTACTTCTGTGCTCAGAACATCAATTAGTTCAGGGATGCATGCTATAGAATCTATGTGCTTGGTGGTGGCCATGGCAGTAGCAGCGCTGCTAATGTGGACCCAGCAGGAAAAGCATGATCGAGGCCACGCAGGAGAAAATGTAGGACGCACACAGACAAAGGCACTGTTTTGAGGCATGACTTTTTGGGATAACAGGCTGCAGAGGCTTAGAAATAATGAATGGGATCATGTTGGTCAGAAAGAGGAAACTGGAAGTGATTTCTGCTACTAGAAGTAATATGTTCTCATTATGGCCCAGTACACTGCTAACAAGAGGAATGGGTCCAACCCCACTCATTCGGGGCTGAATGCTATTCCACAAACGTATTGATTTAACTTGGATAGTTTGAAATCGAGAAATCCCCTGGTATAACATGCAGTTATGGTCATTTGCCTATACTTTAAAAAACATACCTAAATAAAAAAGGATTAAAAAAGATATTAGAAATCATAATGCCAAATGTACACTAATGAAAGAAATCATGAAATGTATATTTTTTGGTACAACTTTCATTTTGGAATGGTTAAATCCCTTTTAGCTGCATCAAAACTGGCTGTATATATGTGCCACAGGTTTGCAAATGCTGCCTCCAAGGTCCAAAGCCCCTTATTGAAATATTACAATTTAACACAGCAATCATATCACCGTTTTAGTGGGTTAATTAGATGAATTGCAAGCATATGATGTTTATCCAACCTTATGCCCATGATAAATGACAAATTTCCGGCATAAACACACACATGTGCTTTTGGTAATTAACAGCATCTTTGGCTGTTTGTTCATTATGTATTACCAATCAACACATTAGGATAATGAAAGGAGACTGGTTCTGAGAGAAAATGCTTTCGGGCTTCGTTCCATCACCATTATGGGCAGCGGACATATTTATATACCTTTTTAGAAGCATATGGGCCAATCTTGCATTATGATGTTGAGTGGATGACTGCAGGGTGATCGTGCTAACTATTGTCTAAGAAGTCACAGCTAGTGCGGTGGTGGCTTAGAGAGTTAATTAACTGATGCAGGGGGAACATAAGGGCTGATGGAGGAGCTTTTGAATTATGGAACAGTGGAATGCTGTGACGGGTGGTAGCGTCCGGCCATATGTCAGCATACGCCTCCTGTGTGGGGCTATGGGGACAGCTGGTCAGATTGCTCATGTTCAACCAAGTTAGGGACTAATCAATCAAAAAAGGGACAGCTTGTGGAATTGTTTAAGCAGGAAAAAAGAATCTGAAAAAGTGCTGGAAGTCCTTTTGTGATTAGCACTCTAACACCAATAGGGATTTGTCAAGAATACTTAGCAAGATGGAAATCTCTCTTCATGGATACAGTGAAGACACAGTGCATCAGATGAAGTTAATTTAAAATTTAAATATGTTTGTTCGAGGGGAAAAGGCAATGAGTCAGAGCAGGCTGTCTTAAATCTCACTGTTGTGTAGACCAGCCTGCTTAACACTTGTAACTACTGAAGTAATTCAATGATCTATGGCACCACATTATGTTAGGGAGAACTATAGGCTTGGTGATGAATTTTAGAAATGCAGTCAAAGGTGCACATTGGTGATAATCTGTGAATCTGTTTGCTGGTTTTGATATTCTCTCTGCATCTCACTGCATAGGGTTACAGCTGCATAAGGAGGCGGAGTGAGTGTGCAGAGAATGGACTTCTTACATTACTATTGTTAGCTACTTTTTGAATTATCTGTTTATTTGTTTTGTTTGTATAGATGCATGTCTTTCTGTTGCTACCGGACACTTGCATTTCTCCCACAGGGATCCATAAAGAATCTATCTGTTTTTTTTATCTGTCTGGCAATACATTTATTACTAACAATCATTTTAAAATTCTATTTGATATTATTCTTTTTTAAACAAGCAAATACATATGTATATATTTACCAAGTTTTTATGTGATTTTTTATTTTATTTTAATTATTTTTTCAAAAATCTCTATTTTGGGGGAGCCCTGGCCCCAGAAGGAGTCTATATTTTTAGCTTTAGGGGAAACTGGAGCACTCAGAGGAAACATTCTGCAGGCACGAGGAGATCATGCAAACTATACTCAGGTCCAGACCCCAGTAATTGTGGCCGGTTTAATCACTTTATAAGCCGGTTTAATCACTCACTAGTTTACTACTGTGTGTGTGTGTGTCAAAAGTAAACCCAAGGTAACATTTCTCAGTCACTTTCATCAGACTGTAACGAGTAGTGTAACTACTACTGACAAAATTAGTGAGTGTTTTGTATATAACCCCAAACAATACTCTGCCCAACCAAACCCAGTTTCTGGATTCCTTATTAGGAACAGAAGATAAGTAACTACAATTTTTTCCCTTTGTCAATCCCCCTTTTCCATATATTTGTTGCTGAATGCTTGAGATGTATTGAAATCTGGCTGGGTGCTTACGCCGCTGGGTATAACTGTCTGGGATGTCAGCAGCACTTGGCTTTTTCTACCTCTCCTGGATATATGTATTAAACATGCAACTGTAGTGATTACATAAGCCCATCGTCACTTCCATTGCACATATAAAAAATACATATTACTGATGAGAGAACTTCTAAAAATATCAGAGTGCACCAATGCATTTGCCTTTGTCTGGGTCTCTTCTGGGCCAAAACGATATGGTCACACTGATCAATAGTCTCTGTTACAGATGATATATTTCCCATGGCTCTGGCTGTCTGCTTTACTCCATCTGTCCCTGTCTGTGGAGCTCAGTGCACACACACGCACACACACACACACACACACACACACACACACATTCGCACACTCTCTCCATCAAACACACAAAAGTGACATGCCTGTTTATCAGACACAGCTCCATGTCCCTTGAGAGCCAGAGGTGGTTAGGCACAAAAAGGGCTGCTTCTGCCTCTTGAACTATGGCCATAGAAAAATGTTTGTTTGGCGGCTGCTAAACAGATTGCATAATCAATGTGTTTAGGTGACCTTGATGTGTACAGAAAGGTAACATTGAAGAATTCCATTTTGATTAATCAGATGTGCAGAGAACTTGTCAAAATTTGAAATTTCATGAATGGGACAAAACATGCTATTATAACTTAGAGCCATTGATTAGTTAATAGTTGCTAAAGTGGGCTTACCAACTTTCAAATGTGAATACCCCAAGCATTGTATGAAATGGATATGAAAGTAGAGAGATGACTACAATGTCCAGATATCTAACTTTATCTTTTCTACCATGAGACACTCCTGAGATTACTTTCTTTATTATCGAGCAAAATAGTCCTGTATATAAACTTAATATCCTTCAATTTGTATCCAATTACATAAGATTGATAATTGTGATTTTTATTGTTGTATAAATCTAATTTTTAAAAAGGTCAGGGTGGAAAGATTTATTTCCTGCTTGCATTATGACAAGCTCATAAAATATAGACATTTTCCCCAGATGCAGTCTAGACACCAGTTGTTAACATGGTGGGACCAGCTGAAGTGTATATGGGTCACTAGACACCTGGCACTAATAGGAAATGCCTGAAATAAAATTGAAGGTGGGGTTTGTTTAGTAATTGACCATTTTAAATTTTAATTAGGGCCAGATAAGGGCATTCAACAAATTTGATTGGTCAAAAAGAATCTGGGTGTGGCTTTGTTGACGTGAATATAGCTATTCCCACTCATCATTTTATATGCATTTCTGTGCCTCAGATGATTATTGATTCCCAATTCTTTTTATGGCTTAAAGCTCTACTGTAAGTCACATTAACCTCAGGAAAGTAATGTGTTGCGATAGCTAAGTTTGGCAACGGGCTGAGTGGGAAATGCATTGCAAATTATTCCATTTAATATTACCTCAAGCTATTTTAACAGCAGGCTGGTTCAAAAATAGTGTTTTAGCAAGCAGTCTAATTTTGCTTGTCTCTTTTACAGGTCTGTATGGTGTCAAAAGCACTGAGCTGTGACGGAAACAGCTCGCCACAAGATCGCCTGGGCTCCACAGGAAGTGCCGCCATATTAACTTTCAGGTCAACTTTGGCCGTCATGTGGGCCAGATGTCTGCTCTTCCTCTGCATCTTGATGGCTCCCATCGCCATAGGTAAAAATACATTGTGAAAATATGCCCCCCATTAGAATATTGCCATTTTGATAGAAAGGTTGTATTTATCACATCAGTGGAAAATATAGCTGTATGGTGTATAGCTATATGGTTATATAGCTATAAGGTGTATGGTCCTTACCCTGGTAACAGGGTTATTGTATCTGTCTGTGTGTGTATGTATTTGTGTGTTTGTCTGTAGTAGGGCTGGGCGATATAAACGGTATAAGCGGTATGCGATATAAATTTGGCCCACGGTAGAGATTTTTGTTATACCGGCATATTGCAATAGGTCATTATGTCATCAAATTGCGCAGGCTCTGACGCCAGCAGAAAGGACCAAAACAAACCGGCATTCAGCAGCATTAGCCTAGCACTATTAGCCTAGCAGACACCACTGGAAACAACGAACAACAGCACGGCATTAACACCGTGTTTCTGTCTATGTATTGTTGTCACAGCAGCCCCAGCAGAGGTAAATACACACACCGTAATCACAGTTTAAGCGTCTACCTTTTGGCAAATCAGTGTCAAAGTAGGCTCGAAGCGCCAGCGTGAGCCAAAATAGATCCATGCGTGTGCCGTGTCCACAGCATCACAGCAGAAGTTTGGGAAAGTTAGCGTCAGATTCGGACCTCCGCGGCCAATATCTCACAAAAGCTACTTTGTTAAACAAAATTAATTGTGCCAAAATGATCATTTACATCAATTGTTCAAATCCAATGCGCTGTTTTAATGAACATAAATTCATTTAATCATCCAGTTCACTGCAAGCGCATAGAAAAGCGCTTAGGGAGCGTCAACAAATGGCAAGACCAGCTTTGTAAACGAACAATAGCTTTTACTGAAGTCATGTACCTGCACAAAACTCTCAGACACTATAAATAATGACCATATCTAACTCCTACAGACTTTGATTTCAACATTTGTGAGTTTTTTATATTTTAAATGAATGCATATGTTTTTCTTTTTAAAAATAGCTTTTACAGTGAATGGTATTTACTGTAACATACATAAATAATGTATGTTACAACATTTGTCTCTTTATTCGTCTCACAACTGATTTTCTAACTCAAAAAATATATATATTAGATTCTAATATATAAATAAGTAACAATCTATTTTATGCAAGAACCTGCTAGACCTATATTGAAATTCACACACCAAATTATACCGCAATATATACCGTCTACCGTCTGTGTCCCAAATTATACCGCAATATGAATTTTAGGCCATATCGCCCACCCCTAGTCTGTAGGCAGGATTGCACTAAAACGACTGGACGGGTTGAGCTGAAATGTAGTGTGTAGATGGAATGTGATAGGAAGACCATGTAAACATTGCGACGTTCATATGTACCATACTTTGTGGAGTATGACGCAAATGTATATAAGCTGCACCAGAAACATAAAGAAAAATATGTTTTAACTGGTCACATCATGATTGTGACCATGATTGTGTTTCAAAACCTAATTGTTAGCTTCCATACCAAAACTCCTTCACCAAGCTATTTTGACTTGATGGAGTAAAAATAATCTATCCATAAAGACTACCACAATAAAAATACATGTATTAGCCACATTGCAATACAAGCTGCAGGGTTCAAAGAAATAGTGGCTAATAATCCGTAAATTGTGGTACTCAATATTTAATAGTGAAACCTGTGGGCATGGACTATCATATATAGCAATAGCAGACAAAAGCTTTGTGTAGCAGACTAAAGCTTGGTGTCTTTTATCTGTGATAGGAAATGCAGACATGCTCACAAAGCAGACAAGCAATTCCAAGCACTTTAATGCAACATCACGCAACCTCAAGCTTTTTGTATCAAACAACGGAGGCCAGCAAACCAAATTCTTGTGGTGACCGTAAAAATGTAGCTTTGAAAGCTGCACCACTATGAATGTTGTTTCCATTTTACAAGTCACTTGTGTTAAATTAGCTGTGGCGAGGTCTCATAAAAGAACTCCCAAAATATCCAGATTACCCAACAGACGTGATCACTATACAGGCTGATTCAGTACACAAACAAGACACGTGTTTGATGAAGAAAAAAAACAGTGCAGAAGCTGAGGAGACTCATGAAGCCTGGCTCTGGCTCATTTGCATATGGTTAGTCCTTTTTCCATGCACACTTTATATATTTTTACACTCTTCTTGTTGGCTTCAAATGCACCCTGAACGTGCACATACGCTCCCAGTAGGGTGTCTGCATGTTTCTCTCTCTCTCCCTTGCAGCTTTCAGCTTTGAAGACTCCTAAAGGGAGCCGTGGCCCACTTGGACTTAATCCTATTAATGGCTGCCGTCAATCATGCAACATACACTTCTAACACTTGATATGTATTTCAACATTGGTCTAACAGTCTGCTCCACATGTGCACGCCTATAACCGCCACATAGGTGATCAGAGGCAAGCACATAAACAAGAACTTTCTGGAGCCACACAAACTGCAGTCACAGGTATTTGCATCAATGTCAAAGGAGTAAGACGGCATATGCAAATAGGAGCTGTTTATACTTAGCGAGGGATTAGCTGAAACAAAGGCTGTGTAGCTGGAGGACACACAAGAAGAAAAATACTCAATCTTCCACCATTGAGCCCGTTTATTCTTGGGCTATGCAGCTATGAATAAAAGAAAAGTGGGAGAGCATAAATAGTTCATCAAAGGCGGATGATTTATTTGTCTTAACCTGGCTGAATAGATGGGATTAGAATGTTAGAATTTTGACAGCCCTTTATGATCACTCACTGCATATATTAAATGAGCCTCAGCGTAAAAACCTTGTTTAGGCTTAGTTTTACCTCTCATTTTTATGTATACAGCCTTGTAAGACTCAGCTGAGCCTTGGGACAGTGTTTCCACACGTGGGTCATAAGAAAAGTCCTCCCAAAAAGTAAGGAAATGTGGAAGTAAATATTGTCTAGTCTTTTTTTTATGACAGAATTAAAATAGAGACTGATGGAAACGAGACATAAGTCGGTTCCTATAAGTCTGTCCCAGGGCAACTGTGTCTATGGCTGTAGTTTACCACCACAGTGCATGGGCTGGATCTTTGGTCATGAAAAGTATGGCATGTATAATTATTAGAGAAATCATTGCACTGATAATCACTGATGGAAACAAAAATAGCAAGGTAAATCCCTTTAGAGTGGAAGGAGTTCAGTGTATTTTAGCAGAAAAATCATTTAAATCCCATGTGGATGTGAAACTTCCAGGGTGGTCACCTGGGCTGCATATTGATATTGTAATACTTCTATTTTTACATGATGCTATAAGATCGAAACAGTAATAATTTATTTTACTCACTATAACTTGCAGTGGTTCAGTTCTAAATGGCATACCAGTCATAATGCTATTTCTAGCTATAATACATGTGTTCATTCATTTCATTACAGGCCCCTTATATTTTTCACAACATTATCAACAATTATTCTTAAGATACAGGTCAACTATGATTCCAAAAATACTGGATTTGTGTTAGAGTTTAATTTTGGTAGCTAACCTATCTCTCTCTTTCTATCGCTTTCTTTCTTTAATCCAACCAATGCATAACCCCTATGCACTACATGTATTTTACATACATAGTTATCCGGGCCCAAATCACCAAGGTAGGCAGTTGTGACAGTATTATAGTGTTTTGTAAAATAACCGTGGAAGAAAAGAGAGCTGAACTCAAAAGTCTATCATCTGGGGAAATGGACGTGCAGTCACAGGAGGTCAAGGACAGCCGGTGATCCAGTCCACAGCATTCTGGATAAAGAGGAGCCAATAAAAGCTGAGAAGTTAGATATTGGATTTGCGTATAAACGTACTAGCTGATTTCACTGAAAGATAAGCAGTTGTCAATCAATTTGAATATAGAAGTGACTATGTAAAGAAAAGATTAGCCAAGTTCATTGAAGTTCATTGCATCTATTTTATATGTTTTATAGCAAGAATTTCTCATCTGTTTTAACCTCAAAGCTTTTGGGCTTGATTTTCACAATGCTACAATTCAGACCTATCTTAAATTCTCTCCAAACTGCCTCAAATCAACAGTGGATGAAGAACAGAGCCCTGTGGTGCACCTCTGCTGAGAATTCTTTCACTTGTGATTAGGTACTTGTGGGCAGTGGGAGTCTAAAGTGGAAAGTTCTGAGTGTTAAAGAAGACTGTCTTGGATTTGTGCAAGGGTGAGAGAAAAAAACATTTGGAGGGTAATGGAAGATGAGAGATTAGCAATTATTTAGAGAAGAAGGTTTCCTGAGGTACCAGGCCAAAAAATATAGTATAATATACATCTTGAGGCTTTAAAACATAATACTTTGATAGATTTAAAGGCCCATATTTAGCAGGGCGTATCAAGATTTACTTATTAATATTATTGAATAGAATTTATTGTCATTGACAGAACAAAACAATACAATCAATGTAATTATGTTTGATGCCACACCTCTTTGAGAAGCAGAGAATATGATGCACATAGAACATAATGTCCATATCAAATGTTATTTATGGTTGCTATTAGCGACAATATTCTGTAAATGATCACTGTCATTATAATTTTTCTGATGTGAACTTATAATGCCATTATTGCAAAGTTTGCCTTTTCCGATCAGTGATATAGGCAGTGGCAGTTCAAGTGAGAGATCACCTTCTAAATCTCTCTTCTCGTCCTCTCTCAGTGTCTTCACGCTTCTCTCCATCTACCCCCTCTTTCGCCACTTTCTTGTTCTTGGCCCAAATGTAAAAATCAATATCCTTTTGTTTCAGACCCCCGAGGCAATAAGAGAGTCTCAATAAGACTGTCAGTACTGTCTGGGACAGCCAACTTTCTGTCACCACTTACACAACTAATGACATGCATAGCTCACATGCTATTATTACGTGTGTAAACATTGGAGCATCTGACAAGAGAGGTGTTGTGTGACAGCTTTGGTAGAGGGATTTGTTCCGAGATGTTTCTCAGGTCTGAAGACTCCTTCTGTATGTTTTGCGAGCATTTGTTGCCATGGGAA